ACCCGCTGGTGTATTGACTTTTTTTTTTAAAATCTACAAATAAGTGGGATAAACGTTTTTTTTTCTACAAAATAAAATTTGATATCAAACTCAATATAAGGGCATTCGCGTAAAAATAATTAATGGGAAAAGATTCATTGATACGCTTGACCAATCATATTAGAGTACTGTGAATGAAAATAATTCACGTCAGCTTTAAGAATGTACCAAGTCCATCTGCTGTGAACACACGGAAATGCCTTCGGCTGAACGGATGAGTAGCGCAACATATAAGACAAGCAACAACAAACGAGTTAAACAACATGACTGAATGAAAACAAAAACTCGCTGAAATAAAAGAATTTAATAATATCTACACTATCTACACCTAACACAGTCTATTCGAAACACAAAATACACAAGCAAGTAAAACTATGGTACAGTGGCTAAAAACTAGTATAGACCTAGCCCATACTAACCTTGGAGATCTGGACGAAACTGAGGCAATCACACACGTTTTCACACACCTTATATACCCTTTCATAAACTGGTACAAACCGGACTATTACAACTCACGGCACGAGAACCGAACACAAAAGCTTGTTATTTAAAACGTTTTTTATTATTTTTAATTTTTTTTTTGTTATAACCCATTTGGTCGTTAACTAATTTAAAGTGGACATGTCCAAATTTCGACCTGGGTAACATGATCATGCAAATATACCAGCATGTAGTCAAATTGTAAGCATATAAGTTACAAAAACCGTGATTATTAGCTTCTAGAAACAGACTAAAAAGTAGCTTTACTCTGTCTTTTAACTGTTTTGTTTGAATAATAATTACTCTACATTTCGATCCAACAAAAAGATTAGGAAAAAGCGATTTTTCAGCCTGAGAAAACAAATGAGCCCGAAGAGAGCGTGAAAACATGACTCACCCACCGAGTAGGCCCCTACCTCAGCTAGCAAATAAAAAAATAAAAAATCACTACAGACTAATTATTTATTTTTCCGGCTATTATTCTTGTGAAACACTTTTCAAACAAACATATTAACTGATTTACAAGGTTTTAAAATAATAATGTTTTTTTGCAGTTCAATATTTGAAGCTTCAAAATATTAATAGATATTAAAATGTCGTGAGCTATTTTTCTACTCAGAAACATATCTGATATTGAAGGCAAATAAGGATATTGTTAACGATGTATGGCTCAATTTAAACGCACAAACGTTTAGACAATCTTAGTTTGTTTTAAAAAAAAAGCGAAAATGGGATTGAAATATCGTACAAAAACTATGTATAAACGTAGATTAATTAAAAAATCATATATGAAAAATACTTTACAGAAAATCTCATCTAAAAAGTCTTAGCACAAAACAAATCTTGCGGACAGAAAACATTTATATTTAAAACTGATTACATGGGCACACGGAGTTTGGCGCCCCAGCACTAGTAAGTAATACGTCATTGTGTCAATCCAAGTTTAATGGAAACCTAACCCTGGGGACAGTATAGGTTGCAAACTAAAGGCTATTTAAATTGTTGTGAAATTGTTTTTAAAACATTAAATATTTTTCCTAAAAAAAATGCAATTGTTACAGTTAGTTAAATGTATGTTATTAAATTAGGAAACTTATTTTTGACGCTTTTTACAAGCTTTCATTCAACTCACTTCCTCTGTCTTCAGTCGTCAGGATGTCTAGACATAAATATTAGTTAAGGTATCCAACAGATACTAAAGTGACCCACGCTTTTCTTTATAGTTATTTAAATAATAGTGTATAGATTATTTTCTACTTTTTTTAAGCATTAAATTTTGTTAACCATTGTGCGCCAGAATGCTTAATTTAAGTCATTTTATAAATTGGAAAATCAATAGTTTCAGCTGCATTGATTTAGTACGTTGACCTATCCCGTTTTTGTTTTAAATGATTCATTTTACATGTCCATTGACATGAAACTCGAGTCCATGTCCATTCTTGGTTTCTATAAAATTAGAAATTGTTAAAAAGAAAACGCTTAGGTCAGGCTTAGTGTCACGTTTTTTTTTTTGTTGTTGCTTATTTTCATTGCATTTTAAATTGTTTTATATTAGTTATTAAAGTTACAATTTATTATAATGCTTGCGATAACTCACCCTCATTTGACATTTAAAACTTAAAGCTCAATGACGTATTACATTTTGTAATCTTTTCAACGCCGTCTTCAAAAACTGGTCCATTTTGTTTTTCAGTCGAAAATTCAATTTTAGGCGACCTAGGTTAGCCTGACCTAAGCGTTTCCTCCTGAACAATTTCTAATTGTATAGAAACTTTAAAACGGAAACCAAGAATGGAATGCAATAGTTACTAATAGGGTGGGTGTAAGGAAAAATACACGTATAAACGGATGAACGAATGAAATAAAAAATGGATGAAATAATAAACGAATAAAAAAATGAACGAATATAAAAACATTGAACAAATAAACAAATAAACGAATGCTTGAATGAACGAACAAACTAATGAATAAATGAATGCATCAAAATAGGATGAACGAATGACAGCATGAATCAATGAATGAGTATAAAATTGAACGAAGGAGAAGTAGTGAGGTAAAAATAAAAGAGATAATTTTGCAATTAAATTATTGAAATCAGCAACACATTTATCCATATTGTAATAACATATAATCAAGAGAAGCAAAGGGACGTAACCAGGATCATTGTTGTTGGTTTTGTCAATTGCATTGTTCCCCTTTTTCATGTTTTATAAGTTCAATTATTTATACCACAAAAATAAAATGTTTATATTTTAATTTAATACAGACAAATAACCTGTTGGTTTCTTTTTTTGGCTTTTAGTGAACATTTTGTGTTAATTTAGTACAAATGTATAAATTCTAAAAAAAAAACAAAAAAAAAAACAACAACACAGAACGTAATTGACGAAACTAAAGAAATCTTTATAACTACATTGAACATGATGTATTGAATGTAATAACATCTGCTCATACGCATGATAATAAAGGAACAAAAACAAAAGAGAACCCGCCCCCAATGTTTAAAAAAAACACACATAAAGGGTTTCTTCGACACATCAACAGCCATTCAAATTTTAATAAACAGCTCTATTGCATTTGATAATTGTATTATGTAGATAAACCACACTGGATCAGTATGCTGAGTTTGAAGCCTCTAGTTGTAGAACATGTTCTTTTATTACCAAAAACCTACATGAAAAACATTAAAACCGTTAAATTTATAAAAATGCAAACACTACACAAACAACATTCCAAAAAATACAGACCTAAATATTCGTTACTGAGCAGAATTTATATGTATACATATACCAAATTGATGAATCCAAATCCAAAACTAACTCAATCACTACCGGTTCCCCTGTACCAAATTATTAACTTCACAATCCTTCACAACAGCAATCTTTACATGATGATGCTACAGACATTTTGTGAGAGGCATTGAAAGTCGACGTCTGGACCAGTCATAGAAGAGTTGTTAGCAATGATGAAAGCTTTACAAAAACTATTACTCAATAAAAAGACAGTTATAACTCAGTACGTAATAATTTCTCAATTTTTAACTTCAAAAATTAAATGTATCTTATGTCTCCCTCTGAATAAACAAAAGAGAAAGCCAAGGTTTTATAGATATTTATTATATTCTTTTCAACGAAGTAACGATCGACCTACCGGCACTATTTCTTCCAGGCCTCTCCCGAAAACTTCAAGTGCTCATGCCCCCCCCACCCCCCCCCCCCCCCCACCCCGAAGAAACATGCCTGGAAGAAAAACTGCCTATTGGTTTACGGTTGCTGTTCTCGCTTACTAGAAAAGCTTTTTTTTTAGTTCGAAAATACTGGAAAGACTAATTCTGTAAATTATGGCTTACCATTTTTATGACTATGAAACGTTACATACAAATCTAACAAATACTTCGTAATGTGTGAGGACTCAAAAAGAAGCGCAATCTCGACCTAAAGCGCAAAATAATGATTTAGTTGTGTCCCTTTGCTACTGCTCTGATATATTTTAGTCAACAAATATATTGTTTTGCAATGGAATGCCAGTGACATTTGTTCTCCTGAATACTATAGCAATCCAGGCAATTTAGCATTGTAAATTATTGTAATGTGTGCGTTTGCAACTTCTGAGAACATTTTTTTTCTAGCATGTGCGTTAAATTCTTGCGTTTGTATATATATATATATATATATATATATATATATATATATATATATATATATATATATATATATATATATATATATTGTACTTCTTGTACTACATATATATGTATTTGTGTATTAACTATTACAACATTACAGCAAGAATTAGAAAACAATACTAATGAATTAGAAAACAATACTAATTAGTTACAAAAAAATCACCTTATCGACTTTTTGGGAAAAAATAAGCATAGTATTAAAACTTTAACCTACAAAAAACAATGACTATTAATACAAAAAGATAAAAAAAGAGGAAACTAAATATAACATATATATCTGATATAATAGTACAGTTTTTTTTCCTATTAAACTTTACCTACACCATCTTAAAAAATAACTAGATAATCGTACTCTACAATTATTTATGTTTTTTTCTCCCCAGTTTAGGAGAGAATATTTTTGTCATTGAATAGTTTATCTTTTTTTATTAGAAATGTGGACCCATGCAATATTTTTTAAAATAAATGTTCTTTTATCAGATGCAGTCATAAACTTTGTCGGCAACTAAGTAACGATTACGTTAATACATAAGAGACCACAATCTTTAATTAATAATAACACAATGCAATGCAAGCAAGGAAAAGCATTTTTATTGTGTCTCTATTTAAAGCATATTCGGTATTACTTATACAAGTACGTGACAAAGGAATTGAGTAAACATAGGATTCAAAACATTACACGCGACGGAGCAACAGTCTATTACTTAGCTTTGCTTCTTTTTTGGATCTTGCCACTAATAAATGGCTACTGCTTTTGTAATTACCACAAACCCACTTCAACTTTGTTAAAACACTA